TAGGTACCAAATAGCTAGAGACAGTCCCTATGCCCTAAGGACTGCTGAAATTATTTAAACTAGCCAGTCCTAAGCCTATTTATCCTGCCTCATGACTCCTGCCTAAGACACCACAATGAAAGGTTTACCCATGCTTTCCTCAGCTCCTCCTGCCGCCTGACCAATCCTGAGGCTTCTCCATGTGGCCCTCCATGGTGCAGTGTGCCTCCTCCTCTTGCGATCTGTGAGTATAACATGCTGTGTTTTTAATGGCGATCTTCTCCTCATCTGCTGGCATTGTCATACTCATATAATAATACAATCTACATTTAAAAACACCAAATTATGAGCCTGGGGTCTTCATCTCCATGGATGGGGCTACTTTTTTCCAATTATCTACACAGACGAGGCACCTGTTTTAATGTACACACAAGTGTCTGTAAAAATAACACAGTATGTGGATCATACCAACAGAAAATCATAATGTTATAAAGAAATCTTCTTTGATTCTGGTCACTGCCTTTGGGGTCTTCTTTTATGACACTAGGGAATTACCAGTACCTCCCAATTTAGTGGTCTCTCTTTAAGCCAAGTGGTGGTAGTGGTGGTGTGGAGGGACATGGGAGTCCCGTCCTCATCAAACACGTTTGAATCATATCAGGCCATAGCTATGGTGTGTTCTCACGGAGCCTAGATGTGTCTAACTCACTGTCTTTGGAATGATATCAACTCTATGGAACACTTGAGGAAATATGCTCACTTCTTTTTTGCGTATAGCCCTTTCAAACATTTTTCCCTGATAGCCACTATGAATGCTTCTGACCTGCCCCAATTTCCTTTAGATTTAATCATGCACTGTTCAATAACTTTCTCCACCACCCTTTGCCACTTTGCAGTTAGTCACATTTAAATTACTAGGATGCCATCTGAACATCCTGGAATGCTCTTTGGGCTGTTGGGAGTAAGACTTTCAAAGATGACTGTCAAGGTTTTTAGAGGGAAGTTTACTGGCTTGGTTGAAGGGTAGGGAGGAATCAATAGGGTGTAGTCCCAGATCGCCCTGCCTCTGTTCCTGATGAGTCTGTTTTCCTAGTCAGGTTTACCTTGACCAAGTCTGGTTTGTGGGTTTTCCCTTAAATTGGGTACCTCTGGGTGTGGCTTTTTCTCTCACTGTCAATACCCTTGAGAGACTAAATCATGACTCTTGCCTTCTCTGGTTCCCTTCCTCAGACTTCCTGAAGGCCAGGCCCTGTCCCTAGCAGCTTGGACATTTCTTCACCACACTGGCTAATCACCCCAGAACTAGGTACCAGACAACTAGAGACTGTCCCTATGCCCTACAGACTGCTGAAAGTATTCAAACTAGCCAATGTTAAACCAGTTTACCCTGCCTCATGACTCCTGCCTCAGACACCACAATGAAAGGTCTACCCATGTGTTTTTCTTCCATGGTGAAGATTGGTTGAGCTGCACTTTTCTGTTACTGTTGTCAAACTTGATCTTACAACATAGATGTTTTTCTCTCCCCAGTCTTGAAAGTTCTGGAAGATCTTTGACATAGCAATTATTTTTCTTCCACTTCACCTTCTTTTTTGTATTTTGTCCTTTTCTTGGGATATTCTTCAATGTCTTAAACAAGCTGTCTTTGCATTTCCTTTTGGTATTAAACAATGGTGGCCTCATGTTAAAAATCTAACCTTATAACAAATCAATTGATAATTAACTTAGGTGACAAGACTACGTTGGCAGTAAAGACCAGATTAGTTAATTCATCCTCATCAGTGCACTGGGCAGGATTTCCTAACTATAGCAAGGTCTAGTCACACTGCTTCCTGGGACAAAGAATTAGTTAGTCCAAATACGTTGTTTCCTTAAAATACGCATTGCCCCGGTGAGCCTCTGGCTACACTCTTTATAACTAGTGGGCAGGCGCCAGGACCCTGAAGGTGGATTCTACTGGGGAGAGGCAAAGTTTTACCATCAGTAGGAGTGGCAGTGGGAGCACAGGTACCAGTCCAGAGAACTAAGTTCAAGGCTCCGGAACCAGAACGAAAAGAACTGACATTCATTGCAGACTACGGGAATCTGTGATTTTAGCATAAGAAATTAAGTTACAGAATGCACCAGAATAACTTGGCCATTTGAACATTTATATTCATATGGGCTTTATTTATATTAAACACTTGATATATTTTGAAGGAAAGCAAGTGTAGTTATGAAACACAAGTGGCAGCAAGACTTATTGTTGACATGAATTTATGACTGAATAGCTCCAAATTGTTTGCAAAATTAGATTCCCAGGAATAAACGTCAATGTCCACCAATATGTAGTAATATAGTAAATATATGATAAAACTAGACCCTGAGAGTTTTTGAAAAATTCTCATGGGAAAATAAGAAAGGCTATTAAGTTCTGCAAATAATTCCATTACACACAGATATGTCACTCAGAGGCTAAACATAAATTTACTTAGTGTTATGCAGGGCACTTGGGAAGGAAGCAGGCATGTAATACAATTATAAAACACAAAGCTCCTTGTCCAGGATAGAGTTTTCTTTTGTAGACAAACGGGCTTTAAAAATATCTTGACCAGCCGGGTGTGGTGGCTCACGCCACTGTAATTCCAGCACTTTGGGAGGTGGAGGCGGGTGGATCACCTGAGGTTGGGAATTCGAGATCAACCTGACCAACATGGAGAAACCCCGTCTCTACTAAAAATATAAAAATTAGCCGGGCGTGGTAGCGGGCACCTGTAATCCCAGCTACTCAGGAGATTGAGGCAGGAGAATCACTTGAACCCGGGAGGCGGAGGTTGTGGTGAATCGAGATCGTGCCATTGCACTCCAGCCTGGGCAACAAGAGCGAAACTCTGTCTCAAAAAAAAAAAAAAAATATATATATATATATATATATGTATGTATGTGTGTATGTGTATATATATATGTGTATATATGTGTGTGTATATATGTATGTGTATATTCATATGTGTGTGTGTGTATATATATCTTGCCAACAACTTGAATTTCAATTCCTGAAGTCACAGTGAAAGACTGATTTGTACTACTTTTTGTAATGTGCATAAATGTAGCTTTTACAGAAATTATCTTTTCTTCTTACTCAGTAGTTGCCTTTCTCTATTTTAAGTGATTTTTATTGTAATGCTCTTTACTTTTAATGCTAGCTTTTAAAAATTTACATTCTTATTTTTCTTCTTTCTGGAGGTGCAATACT